CCCACCCTGTCCCCAGCAGCTTCCAGTCCGGCACAACATTCACTCTCACTGGATGGAGCCAGCAACAGTTTTGAAGGAGGGAGGCAGACTTTGAGATCCAGGAGTGGAGACGGGAAGTAGATCAGACTTAGTTACCATGGCAATAAAGTCTTTGGGCGAGGCGTTCAAAATTACTTCAGTAAATTAGTTCAGTTTTGTTTCTCCCTTGGGTCTTGGCCAATTTGAATATTAATTAAAATAATTAAAGGCTAGCTATAATTATATGTCTTTACACAGACAAACGCACACACGCACATGCACACACAGAGACCCTGGGAACATAACATGGCTGTCTGTGGCAACCTTCAGCCAAGTTTAACTACTGTTTAAGCCAAAGACCAGGGGTGCGGAAGGGCTAAACATGTAATTGGTAAAGACAATAGGGCGGAGGGCCAGACAAAGAAGATCAGAGCACATCCCGTGGTGGTTATGGTGAATAATTCTCAAAGCGCTATTGTTAGCGGAGCAGAGAGATGGGAGAAGAAAGGGAGGCCATTCATTCAGCGGCTGGCTCGGACAGGTGAGGAGAGGAGGGAGGGAAAGGGTGAGGAAAAGGGAAGTAAAATCCTCGAGCGGCTGGAGTGACAGCTTGAACAGAGGGTGACAGTTGTAGAGGAGCCTCCCAAATGCCATAGCAGAGGCAGTAGTCCACCACACTGTTAAGATTGTGTGTGTGTGTGTGTGTGTGTGTGTGTGTGTGTGTGTGTGTGTGTGGTTGTAGCAGTTATCCGAATGAATCACGCGGGCCACAGCGGATTTGGTGGCGAGGGCAAGAGGGCCCCGAGGGGGGGCGGACGAAGAGGTAGGCAACACCGCCACTATATAATATCTCAACAGCAGTTCTTCGAAAATCTCCTCTCCCTCCCTCCTCCTTCAGCCATGAGGAAGAGGAGGCACAAGTGCGCTGCTACAGCTGACAGGGGTCTCCAGGGACTCCTGACTGTGTGAGGGGTCATGTGGAACGCTCACCCCCACCAACACCGGACAAATCCCACCTCACCCTCAGCCTCAGCCTCAGCCTCCCACCCACCTCACCCTCTCTCCCCACATTCCCCTGACAACACTGAGCTCATCATATACTTCACACGCATCCAGCTGCACGATCGCAAGGACACTACAGGCAGGGTAGGATTTATCCAGCAGATACTTGAATGTCTTTGAGAGAAGCTGCATGGTGTGAGCCCGCAAAATTAGTCTTCCCCCTTTATGTGAGAAATGTTTTGATTTCAAAATGAGAGTCTAATGCTTGAAAGGGTGATGTTTCCACTTACAAGGTCATTAGAAGCACAAAATTCAAACATAAGAGGACGGATTATAAGCAATGGGTCCTCATGTGACGTATAATGATAACTCAAGTCTCAATCATGATTTTAAATAAGTCCATGATGTGTGAGCTTTTAGCCAGGATCACGGCTCTGGGGATAGCTATATCAATCTTGATCCAGACTGAAATATCTCAACAACTAATTGATGCATCACAGATCTCCATGGTCCTCAGATGATGAATCATAAACATCATAACATCACCACATCCTTGTGATGGATCGATGGACTATGCATTCTGATCCCCTGACTTTTATTCTCTCTTAGCATTTGAGGTTTTAAGTCATCTGGTGCCATCATCAGGTCAGCATGTTAATTGTTTCAATACTTTGCTTTATGCTGCCTGCAAACTGAGACGACCTAAGAAATGAGAAATGAGCTTCGGCTCAGTTTGTGCTAATGAGTAAATGTTAGTGTGCTAACATGCTAAACCAAGATGTGGCATTATTATTTATGTCAAAGCAGCAAGTACAACCTTATAGATCCACTAGCATAGCTGTTACAATTACAACAATCTATCAATCCAAAAATATAAAGACAACAGGAAACAAATAGAGACAACAGAGAAGCCAGAGATCTCAGTGGAAAGTGAGAGGAGCTGACTCAACCATTTTCCTCACTGAACACCTAAAAGGAGAGCTTCAGGGCTGGGATGCCCACCATGACACCCCCCCCCTCCCCAAACCCCCCAGAACCTCCCCCTGGAGCTAACTCTGACCCTGCGACCCCTGACACCTCCACCGCTCCCAGATCCTCTCCACGGGCCAATCAAATACAACCTGCCTCAGGCCTGTGACACTGATATTGACAGAGCACGGACAAGTCACAGTAAACAGACATTAGGGGCGGAACACATGGATGCATGTGGAGTTGTACATTTACACAGACACACATATGCACACTCTCACACATGCATGCATGTATGTTTACACCAAACATGGACTTGAAGTCACACATGTGTGCAAAGAAAGACAGTATTTTCTGGTAAATGGAGCTGTGGGGCACTCAGGGGGTTTTCCATTCACCATTGCAAATCTGAGACATTCATTGGTTTTCGATATTCCCAGTGAAAAAGACACTGGCAGAGATGTTTCAAAGGGTAGAATGCTTGGTATGTGGTTTTACGCCGGTTCCCAACATACTGCAAGCTTTGCATTCTGCAACTGATCTGTGTTGTCTGAATCCCGCAGCCCTGCACAGCTGTCAGAGCATGACAGGGGGTGGACAGGCTGCCTGTGTGTGTGTATGTATGAGTGTGTGTGTTGTCCCATGAAATACCTTTGAGTCAAACACTTCCATTTTTAATTCAGATGTTTGTGCTTTTTGACTAAAGTGATGTTTGAGAGGTGATAAATTCAAGCTGTGTATTCACAATGACAGGCAATAGATCATCTGTCATCCCTCCTGAAAAGAAGCTTTCGATGAAAATGGTAATTTTCTGCTGAGTGCAATAACCTTTTTTAAAAAGTAAAGCCATTCTTTTACTTTTCTTTTAACTTTTAACATACTTTTCTCTTGTTGAAACCCCCCTTTCTTCGCCTTGACAGACCATTGATGTTTCAGGCAACTCATTCTTTTCCCCTCTATTTATCTTTCCTTACCTATTGCACCAAGTGCATGCTTGTCCTTGCTGACTCATAAGTGCAATACAACTTTCTTTCTCTCTCTGTCTGTCTCTCACCAAGTGAATTCCTCACAGGATCAGACCTGCTTTTTAAGCTTCACTGGGTTTCACTCAAAGCGAGAATGAGTAGAGAGAGAGGAGAGGGAGAAAAGTCGGGGGGGGGGGGGTTTAGTGACAACAAACCAAAACTCTATGGAGGAATTCGCCATATTTTGTTAAACCTGAAGAAAAAATGTGAAAAGAGTAACAGGGCAGAGAGGGAATGAGACACAAAAAGAATACGAGAGAAGAGGTATGGGGAAGAAAGGAAATAAAGCTGAAAAAGGTCATAATTTCATGCCAGGGGATTTGCAGTTGCCCAGACAACGAACAAACCAGAGCCAGCTGGACTATGTGCACAACAGAAAGGGCTGAAAAGAGAAGGGAAAGGCTCTGGGGAGTGAGAGAACAAGGGCTGAGAATTAGTGTGCTCGTCAGCAGCATAATTTCTGAGAATCAGTTAACATTTTTTTTTGTGTATATAAAACATAATAACTGTCAGATGTCCACAGTGATTTCTTTATTATCTTTTTAACTTGAACTTACCTTCATCACTATCTTTGATTTTATTAGCATTATTAGAAATAAAATTCTGAAAGAAAAGCGATATTAAGCAGACTCCAGAGAGGCAAAAAACATTCATAAATCATTATAGCATTGTGGCAAAACAGCAGGAAAACTCGCCACAATCACAAGGTTATGTTTTGTGTAAAGGACTGGAAAGTTGAACCATTAGACATGGGGAGAGAGAGAGAGGGGAGTGTTTTGATTTGGTTCAGCTCTGAATTGGAAAGTGGTGAGAGAGTGTTAATGATATGCAGAGCAAATGAGTCCAGCTAAAGTCTTTATAAACACAAAGAATCTTGGAGGGGGGTGGCAGAGTGGGGCAGGGGTATGTTGGGGTGAAGTTGGCCTGAATGGAGCAGAGACAGAGAGAAAGCTTCCTAGAATCTCTAACATTATTTCAGTCAAAAAGTTTTGACCTTGCGGATTCATGAGACGTATGTGCAAACGCACTCACACGAGCACTCAAGCGCAAACAGACAAAGAAAAAGTAAAACCTTGGGCAACCTTCGTGTCCTCTTCCCTGTTTATCCAAGGTGGAGCTCAGAGTGTGTTAAATGACCTTTATTGTCCCTCGCTGCTGAATGAGCACCAGCTAAAGTTTCCCTCCTCTCTGTCAATCACACGGGCAAGAACCAACACATACAGTAACCGTTGCTCCGCCTGTTTGTTTCAGTCACTCTCTGTCTGACTTGTTCAACTCTTGATGTAATTCAGCACAAACACAGGCACATGTGGCTCTTTTAAAACATGAATTCCCATCTCACTGCTGCCTTTCCTCACGGTCCCATATCAACAGCTCCCCTGTTTTACTGCAAAACCTTTCAACCTGAGTCATTATAGCCCAGGGCCAGTAATGGTATACAGTTACACCACCACTGCTCTGTAATAAAGTTTCCCTCAGGGATAAATACCAAGGCAGAGTAATGTGGGTCTACATGAAATGGCCCAATCCAGGTGCTGAGAAGCAGCACGGATAATTCAAGAAGTTTACAAGTTTATATTATAAAAGAATGTGTTTTGAATTAAACAACTTTAAAACAATCTCTTACATGCAAAGGGTTAAGAAGGTGAAACCACCTCTCTGTGTGCTGCTGTATCATATGTCATATTCCCCAAATCTCACTGTTGCTGTAACAAAGAAACTCTCCACTCACTCACCCCCCCTCCACTTTCACATTAGATTTCATTCTACAGTGTTGTTAAGGTCACAGGTCCCGCCCACTGGATGCTCTGATTGGATGTTGTCCCTGTTGGGATATTCAATCAGACACCTTGCTCGGAGCTGTGATTGGACACAGCCGGTGCAGTTATGCAAATGAGCACCTGGTGGCGCCTGCTGGACGGGCTGCAGAGCTTTGGACTGAGGTTGGAGCAACACAGCCAAGGCTTAGATTCAGAAGGGGGGCAGAGGCGCAGGGACCTTGGACGGTCTCTAGCTCGTATTTTATATTTTCCCTCTTTGTCGACAAGTTTTGAGAAACTATTCATCCCAAGAGCGTCAAGTGAAAGTCTGGCCGCGGGTGTGCTATCGACCGGGGCGTTCAGCAAGTGCGGAGTATTTTGTTGTTTTCTGAGTTTTTGACAGAAGTCGTTCACTGAGCGCAACAGCAGTGCTCCGGGGCTCAGTTTGGATTATTCAGTGAGCGCGTGTTGTTCAGGGCAACAAAAAAATAAATAAAAAAAATTACAGCTTCACCTTGTTTCACACAGACTTCATCTGAAAGTCTGGATCGCTGTCAAAGAGCTCTTCTGCGTGTCTTTTAGGTAAGTACTGACAAACTCTTTTAAATCCTCCGCGCGTTTCTTCCCCGCGCACTTTATACTCCATAATAAGCCGCTGTAATAATATTGCAGTGGATATTTCCAGCTGTCTGTCTGTGTGTCTGTCTGCCTCTCACTCTGTGGTTTGGCGTCTGTGAGTCTCGGTGTGAGGCTGGCACGGCAGCCCTGGACTCTGGCCACGGGCTGTTGGGAAGCGCATATGAGGTGTAACGTTGCGCCCCGGGGCTCTGCACGTTTGTGTGTGGCAGATACATTGCGGCGTTTACGTAGCTGAAATATTCCGACAGTGTATATCATAGTCGAGTCTTATTCCAAACTGTGCTGCTCGACATCTTGATAAATGTGTGTCCTTGGCAGCAGAGAAAACATTATTCACAGCCCTTATTTGTGCCATGACTATTGCTTTCACATTGTTTATATTCACTTTGTGTTTTCTAAATGGACTTTTATTTCTTCCACCATGGAAGTTGTCACCAGTCATAGCCTCCTCCACAACCTGTGTAACTCATTCTTCGGCAGCTTTACCTCGCACCTCATTCGCAAAACCTCACAAGTTAAACAAAAGTAATTCTACTTGGCATGTCCCGAGCTTTAAGACTGCGGCAGCCCTGATGGATGGCTCAGTAAAATGTGTAATGTTTAAGATGACCCCCACACATCCAGGTGGTGGTCATCACACCGATCATTAACCCTGAGACCTCACAGCAGCACAGGTGACCTCCAGTGAGACCATCAGCTCCGGTTTCGTTCACCTCTGGCCCTCAACATGAGGTGATGGTTCTTCTGGGAGTGAGCGAGTCACCAGAACCAAACCTAATCAGTAAAGGCCTGGCACCAGAAGGGGAGAATGTTTCACTCTCCGGGGGATGAGCTTGCCAGAGGGTTTGGACTTTGAACAGGATATAGATGTTTTGTTTTCGTGAGCCAGAAGGAAGAGGTGGTGAGAGTGACTCAAATAATGTGGTATAAAAAAAAAAATGGTTCCTCATCTTTTCCAAGAGCAGGAAAGTTATGCTCAAAATCTGCACATTTCAGCCTCCTGCCTGTTTATTTCTGTGTGGCAGAGAGAGAGACAGCAGGAGAAAGGTGACAATGTGGGTGTGATTGCAGGTGTTTCTGTCGCCTGCTTGTTCCTGTGTGTTTGTGCATGCATTCTGTGCTTGCAGGGAGGCGGAGGTGGCCTGATGTAGGAGTGAACAATGGGCTTCAGTGGGTGTGCAGTGCAGCGGGCAGTCACCTTTCCCACCACATGAAAACGGTACGTGTGGGTGGTTTGAGCGCTGGGGGACTGAGCAGGCGGACTGGAGGAGGCGTAGCTCTGGTAGACCGTTGGGAGGAGGAGGTTGAAGGTTGGTGTGGCTCAGTGTGCTATTTGCCAGAAGATAGAGAGGCAATAAAATGCAAATTTTTTTTTTTTTTCTCGCTGTACCTCCCTCTTAGTTTTTGTAGCAAAGGCATAAAGAGAGGAGGAGCAGTGAGTGTTGGTATACAGTCCCTCACTCACGGCAAGCACTGGTCTGCTGGATCCCTGTTTAATGGGCATCTGGCTAATTCTCCCAGAGCGTCCCTCGAGAGCCATTGGCCTTGCATAGTTGCTTTTTATCAGCTGTACAGTCCAGCAGAGGAGACGCAGAATATATTAAATGGTTGGATAGACCAGTTATGTGAGTATAATTGTCAATGCACACACTTGGGGAAACAGGTTTTTTTTTTTTCTCGTGATTTGTCTTCATCATGACAGGTTAAGGAGAAAATGGCACTAATTGCATAATATGATTTGTGGAGAAATATGCACAGAGCAAAGTAATTTGTCTGATAGTGTCAGTGAAATGGCTGCTGTACTTTCTGTTTCCGTCTTTAGAGATTTTAAGAATCAGCAATGAGACTGTTGGAAAGCTGCTTTTAATGCACCAAACAAGATAAAACATGAACTGAGGTTTTGTTGTTTATAACTGTTGTGTTATGATTGAAAACACAGAGATGCCTGCCTGTGTGCAAGCTCGCTCACACACACACACACACACACACACACAAACACACACACACAGAAGTAGGATTTGGTGTCCAACAGTGGGAGCACTGGTTTGTGCAGGCTGGTTGATCATTGACCTCAGTCTGTTGTCCTTTATCTGCCTCATTGTTTTGGTGGGAGCCAGTGCTTTTTGACTTTGTCCTTGTGTTTCTGGTTGTTGACCATTCTGAAAAGACTTTTAGCAGGTGGATACGAATTCAAACTCCAAAGGCAAATCCTGCACAATGGCCGGACTGCATGTTTTGCACAGTTGCCTGGTTTTAATAGCAGTGTGGCTAATGTGGCTAGTTAACCACATGAGAGAACACAATGATGATACTGGGGGTTTTCAATCCAAAGAAACTGTCTTTCATGTGACTTCTCTCACAGCAATCGTGTTAGGCAGCAACTCCTCTAAATTCTGTGTTTGGTCGTAATTGGCTCCCGACAGACTGAGCGGGAACCTCAAGGCCACAGGAAGAATTCATTTAAGTCCAAAGACATGGCACGGTTACTTGCCTCCCTTCTGTACCGTTCCCTTCTAATCGGAAATGAAACCAATTGAAGGCAGGACTCCACTGTCCACCCTGTTTTCCTAAACCAATTTCCCCTAAAGTCTAGACAGCTGGACTTTTCAATTGCATTTGCCGTATGTGTGGTCACGTGCAGAGCGAGTCTGACGTGACCGTCGGAGAAACAAATTCATCGTGTAATGGGCGGTGACACTTCAAAGCGGAATCCAGTGCTTTCTTGGGCTCTAGTTGTCAGTGGGCTCTCGAATCTCTTATTTGATTTCCTCTCCATGAATCTCCAAAGTCCCACCTTCTTTCAGATCAGCCATCCCCACCCCTCCAGCCGGCCTTCATCCCCCGTCTCAGCATCCCACCCTGACATCCACCCTACCTTTTGATCCCCTAATTGATCATTCTGGCAATCTGTCTCTGTCTCTCTCTCTCTACATCTAACATGGAGCACAGATTCTCCTTCTTCATCTTCTATCTTCCCATTCCCTTTGAAGCAGCACGAGATGTTCCATTTATTCTGCTCCCTCCTTCCTCTGCTCGTCCATCTCATCCTCAGCCTCCCTTCTCCTATCGTCCCTGTGAGCGACCTCATTTATCTGTTTGCTCTTGCCAGTCATGGTTGCTCTGCTTAGATAGCAATGTTGCTGTGTAGATGTAAGCAAACTTGGCTGCTTCAAAGACTTTGCCACAGTCTCTTATCAAGGTATCTCAGACCATGGCTTCATGCTTCATTTTACCCAGGGAACCAAAATAAATGTTTCTGCATACGTCCCAAAATTAAAGGCGGCCTGTTTTTGAGGTGATAATACGTATATGATATAATTTATCAACTACCAGCATGTGGCAAAGTGTTTTTTTTTGTTTGTTTTTTTTTTACAGGAAAAAAGTACAAAAATATGGAGGTTTGCAAGTAATTCCTCTCTAATCTATAATTTCTCAACTGCTATAAATATTTTATGACTCAGAAATACTAAAATACTTTGATTAAAAGACGACTGATGGACTTGATGGACCATTTATAGAAAGTGATCAACATTCAAGTGTCAGAACCAGAGATATTGTTTTTCTTTATTCCATGCATTCTTACTTTTTGTCAAAACCTGCTGCCCACATTACCCACAATGCAACTTGTCCGCCAACATTTTAGTTGGAGATTCTGCATGTTATGCTAGTAGTGGCTAATGCAGCCCGGAGCTGGTTGCCTCAAGCAAAGGTGAGGAGCGGGCTACGGAGGTTGGTGAGCTCACTTTGTAACTCCACACCCCCACAGGTTTTTTTTTTTTTTCATTTTCAAATTTGTGGTCTTCAACCAGCATTGCCTCCAGTGACATCACTCGAGGCATTTATCAGAGTTTGTGCAGCTCCCTCTGGAGCTGCAAAAGACTTTACACAACTGTTTCCACATGTGCAGCAGCGCTCCTCCAGACCAGTAAACAGACTTTACTATTAAATCAGTGAAACTCCCCTTTTTAAATCTTATGATGTTAATGGTTAATTAGAAAAAAGACAATGCTTCAGTGCTCAATGCTGAAGCCTGTGAGCCGAAACCAACCGTGAATCATGTCATGTTCCTTCACATGTCTCTCCAGCAACTGGCAGTCGGAGTTATCGCTTCTGGAAAAAGAAGACAACCCCTATGAAAGATGGAAACTCACAAACCTAAAAGCCAGTGTGCACTCTGTTCTCTCCCTCTTTCTTTCTCTTCAGTTTTTTTTTTCATCTCCGTTCAATTCCTCACACTGTGGTGGTGTTTTCGGCGAAGTTGCCAGCACACGCCGTGCCTCTTGTGGCTCAGTATACCCACTAATAATTACTAATAGCTCCTGGCAAAGTAAGTGCTTTTGAAACCTCGGAACATGGAAGAAAACTGTGTTCAACATCAAATGTTACTTTCTTCTTCATTATGTCTTCTCTTCTCGTATGATGAATTTGAGTTGTAACGACATCCACAGTGAGTGGGGCGGACCTGTCTGTCTTTCTCTCAAAGGGGTTTAGAGGGGCACATTAGCATCAGGAAACAGTTGCGTGATGTGTAATTTAGCTGTTTTCAGGAGGGTTTTTTTTCTGCTGAGAGGGAGGGGAGGACTGCAAATGTGATAAAGGTATCAGCCTGTGCCCGAGGCTTTTAGCAGGGACGAATTGTGTGTGTGTGTGTGTGTGTGTGTGTTTATATGTGTGACTGGGGTTTTAGCAAATCCCAGACTTTATATTAGTCAGGTTGCCACAAATTTTGGATCCTAATTAGCTTTTTCTTGTGAGTGTATTCTTTTGTTTGCCTGCTGCAGTAGCTCAACCTCAAACAGCTCAAAGACGTCTGAAAAGATTTTCTCTGTGCTCAGTTGTCATTCATTAGGAATGAGAAAAAGACATCTGTTGGAGGGTTGTGTTAGGCCAGACTTTTTTCTCACTTTGACTCAAAATGCTGAGTCTCGCTGAACTCATTCCCG